GAATGCTAACTAATAAATATCAAACGAATGATAGGACAGAGTAGAACTGCCCCATAGGGTTTCCAAGGAGCAGCTGGTGGATCTGAACTACCACCTTTTTTGGTTAACAGCCAAACTCTTAACCACTGTGCCACCAGGGTTCCAGAAGGGATGACAGGATTAGAAAATCCCCATTTTGCACCCACCATATTAAACAGTTGATTCAGGCAAGGATCATCAATGGATGCTAAACCCATTGGATGAAAGATTGTTGGAACAGGATTATTTATCCAGTATCCAAGCATCATTCCCTAGATTAATCACTAACTACAAAGAGGAAAAGGCAACTTCACAGTGTAGAAAAGCAGTGGACATTTTAACCAAATGATGAAACATAGGTGCCTCCTGATGTGATGTACTGAGGACACATCATCACCTACCCAGTATTTCTGTCAAAATTGTTTAACCTGATCTGTCTCACTGCAAAAACAATTAGACAAACCCAAATTGTAGAACACTCTGCAAGACAACTGGCCTGAGCTCTTGAAAAATATTCAAGTCATGAAAGTTTTTTAAAAAGGGATTATAGGAGACTGAAAAGTTACAACTATATACAATGATGTATAATCCTTGATTGGATTCTGGATCTTTAAAAAGCTCTAAAGGACATTTTTGGAAAAATTGGAGACATTTAAATATGGGCTATATATTAGAGATGGGCCAGTGGTATAATTCTCATTTTTCCATGAGGGAAGCCAAGATTGGATTCCTGGCCAATGCACCTTAAGCACAGCCACTCTCTGTAGTGGATGCTTGCGTGTTGCTGTGATGCTCAAAAGATTTTAGGGGAGCTTCCAGACTAAGAAGGACTAGGAGAAAAGGGTTGGCAATCTAATTCCTAAAATCAGCCAATGAAAACCTTATGGATCACAATGGTGCAATCTGCAACTGATCATGGGGATGGCACAGAATCAAGCGGCATTTTGTTCTGTTGTGCTTGGCAGACTCCACAGCAGCTAACAACAATATATTTGAGATACATTCTTGAGTGTGATAATTGTATTGTGGTTATGAAGGAGAATATCCTTGTTAAGAAGTTACAGACTGAAATACAATAGGGGTGAAATTTCATGATGTCTGCAACTAACTTTCAAATGGTTCAGCAATGCATTTATGTATATTCAATACAGAGAGACTAGGCAAACAGCAAGATATTAACATCTGTTGAGTCTCTAAGAATGAAGAGTATCCTTACAACTTTTCTGTGGCTTTGAAAATTTCCAAAATAAAATGGTAGGGATGTTGTTTTAATCTGGGTGGTGGTTACAGAGACATTGATATGTAAAAAAAATTATTGAGCTGTACACTTAAGATTCGTGCACCATTTATACTTTAATTAAAAATAAAAAAAAGTTGGTGGGAAAAAAACCAAATGGCTTGTTTTGCTTTTGTGGAAACTCATTTTCCTGGTTCTTGATCTACCTCACTGAAAGCACAGGGCCTGATATACTAGCCTCTGGCTCAGTAGTTATCTGTTGATTAATGAAGTTCAGCCACATTGTAGTTCCATTTTATCTCACCTTCTATCTCCTCCCTTCGCTGATCGCCTTTCCCACCCTAAAAGAGCTTTGCTCTCAACTTTGGCGAACTTAAAATTCTTTCAGCAATTTTCCTGTGGAATTTGTTAAAGGGATCATTGTGGAGAACACTTCATCTAAATCTTTCATTGTTAGATAATGTGGTACGTAATGTAGTCTAGTAAGTCCTCACAGCAAAGCTCCCAGGTTGCTACTAACGTTATCCCCCTTTTACAGGAGAAACTGGTTCAAAGAGATTACCTAAAGTCATATTGTCAGAATGCAGTGAGGCAGGGATTAGAATTTTGGGTTTACTCCGTGGCCCGTACTTTGAATACTCCTGCTATTTTGTTTTATCTCGTCTCCAACAGAGTCTGGCCACAAGCTAAATTTTCAAAGTGTGCTTATTTAGGACTGTATTAATTTCTTATAGAAAATACCGTGTTCTCCCACAAAACCATTCCCAGGCTGTTAAACCAACTTGCGAACAATGATTATTAACTTAGTATCCCATGTGTGGGTTTGGTAGTGGGAAGCACTCAGTAAAAAATGGTTGGGTGAACGCAATCAGTTAAGCAGTGAACATAACGAATCCTAGCCCCTAAGCGGCGCTGTCTCCATCTGTGGAACCTGGCTACCCGAATATTTAAATCTAATCCTTGAGGGTAGACTCGGCTCGCAAAGACGCTAAGGTGCAGGCGGAGGCCCCGCCTCCACCCAGGGCGCATGCGCCCGCCACACCTCCTCGCCCCGCCCCGCCCCATTCTATTCGGGCTCCCGCCTCCGTTCAGGTAGGGGCGGCATGCGGGGGAGGGGCATCCCCTGGGGGCGGGGCTGGAGGGGGAGCCTCAGCACTGCGGGCTCAGCTGTCCGCGAACCCCAACTTCCGAGTATCATCCGGAGCTATTTCTGCAGCTGCCTCTTCCGGGGTAGGAGGCCCGTTCCCTGGTCTGGGAGCCGCCGAGGCGCTACCGGTGGCCAGCGCACCTTCCTGCTTTCTATCGCACCAGTCCTGCCGTCTCCACTCTCTCCAGCTCCTGTACCCCAGGTCCCTGTCTGTCCCCAGCCTCAGAGTCGGTTGTCCTGGGTAGCTTGAGGACACGGGAGCTGGGCAGGTGCCGAGAGCCGCCACCTCTCTCCGTCCTTCCCCTTCTCGCTGCCGGTCTTTGGCGGCCAGGCTGAGCCGTTCGGCTGCCAGAAGCGGGCGGCCTCCGGGAGACTACGTGCGGGCCCCTGCTCGGCTTGCGCCTCCGCCTTCTGCTCCAGTTGCTTTCATAATGGAGCGGAAGAAGTGGGAGTATGCTGCCAGGGCCCTCCCTGGGAAGAAGAGCGGTACGGCATTGTCTCCTGAAGTCAGCCGGTGCACCCTTCTGCCTCCCGGCCGTCCAGTTTCTGGTTGCAGCCCCTGCCACCGCCCCTCACGTTGGCCGTCAGACCTTGCAGCCCCCAACCAGCCAGGCAGGGAGCCCACACTGGCCTAGCAGGATAATGGGAACCAGAGGCAGCTCTGAATAGCCTCTTAATGACCCCAGCCCTGACTGGGACTTTCTGTGTGACACTGTGGGGCCTGACCTGGGGGAGTTTCCCCTTGTTTACAATTACGCAACTATCATTCAAGAAGCACTAGTTGGACCCCATTGTGTGCTAAGCATTGGGAGTTACGGGGTGAGGTCTGTTCTAGAAGACTTGGAAGTAGGGTTGTTGGGGCTGTGTGTCTTTATGTCTGATTCTGTGTGTGTGTGTAGACAACTAACCTAGCACCTAGTGCTGTAAGCCCTCAATGTCATGAGAAGGTACAGTGACTGAGGGAGCAGGGCTGGAGAGGGTAGCTCCACTCACCCCCACGCCTGCCTCCCCTGGGCTCATGGAAGACAAAAGTAATTAGGTTGAACCTTTAATCACAGCTAGTTTCACAGGCAGGTGGACATGGAAGAAGCAGAAATCCTGGGGATACAGGGTGCTGGCTTGGCTCACAGGCACTGCCTCCTTCTGTGACCTCTCCAGCCCCCACAGTTTGGCTGTCAGTAATCTGTTGTCTTTTCTCCCTCAGGACACAGGGTTCCCTAGGAACAGCCCCAGGCTTAATGATTGTCCAGAAGGTGGCTATAAAGGGAGCCTGAGAGCCTGGGTGGAGGAGGGAGAAGAAAAGACCTTACTCAGCTGATTTGGGCACCGAGAGAGCCGGCAAGCAGGGGCTGTGGTCAGAGGCTCGGCGTCCTGGCCAGTAGGGCCTGCTCTCTTCCACCATGGCTGCCCAGGGCTATGGCTACTATCGCACTGTGATCTTCTCGGCCATGTTTGGGGGCTACAGCCTGTACTACTTCAACCGCAAGACCTTCTCCTTTGTCATGCCTTCGTTGGTGGAGGAGATCCCTCTGGACAAGGATGACTTGGGTGAGCCCTAAGGAGAAGGGCAGGGTGGTGGCCCAGGGACACTGAATCTGTAAGGATGCATCGGGGTGTTTGTGGCACTGTGGTGTGTACAGGCATGTAGTGTGTGTGGATATCTGTGCACAGTGGTGGCATGTGCTGAGTGAAGAGGTTCTGTGATCTGTGTCTTGCAGAAGGACTATGAGTATGATCTATGCATGACTGAGGAGCGCTGCTTATCTGGTGTGTGTACCTGTGACCCTCACGTGCCCTCAGAGGCACTGTTTATTCTGGGTATGTTTAGGGGGTTCTGAGCATGGTTTCCACACCTGTGTGGGTGCATGCTAAGGCTGTGGGGTGAGTGCTGGCCACTGACATTGTGAGTACTGAGCACTGAGGAGTTGGCACAATGACTTCATGTGCCTAGCAGGCTACTACTCTTTAGGAGGAACAAGGTCCCTGGCTCCAGTCCTTTGCCCCATGTTCAGAAGTGGGGCAACAGAACTGCCAGAGGCCCTGGTTGGCATCCAGGGTGAGGTGGACAATTAGGCATATACAAATCCCAGGGAGGGGAGCTGTCCTGTCCTGCTTCCTTCTGGTCTCCTGGCAGCTACAGCTGGAACTCTCCAAGAGGCCGAAAAATCATGGTCAGCCTGGGACTAGTGCTGGTGGTGAGGCGGGGAGAGGGAGTGGGGCCCATGAACGAGTGTCAGGATTCCAGCACAGGCTTTTCCTGTTCCTCTTGGAAGGAACCTGTGTTACCCTGCTGGGCACCTCTATACACCTGACCCCATGCCTTCCTCCACCCCTCCTGTGCCCCCTGCCCTAACCCCCCAGGTGTCCTACTCCCTGCTCCCCTCCCCTGCAGGGCTCATCACCAGCAGCCAGTCTGCAGCGTACGCCATCAGCAAGTTTGTGAGCGGGGTGCTGTCTGACCAGATGAGCGCTCGCTGGCTCTTCTCCTCTGGGCTGCTCCTGGTTGGCCTGGTCAACGTCGTCTTTTCTTGGAGCTCCACGGTGCCCGTCTTCGCTGCGCTCTGGTTCCTCAATGGCCTGGCACAAGGGCTGGGCTGGCCCCCATGTGGGAAGATCCTGCGGAAGGTGTCTGTTTCCAAAGAGCCTGTTTAGATTGGCATGGGGGATACCTAAGGAGCATGGGGGTATACTCTTCCTTACCTGCCACTTCCGCCACCAACCCATACATAGCAGGTTCCTTGGAGTTTCAGTCCAGTTCCTATTGCTTGTCAGATATTTTAGGAGCCTGAGAGTGGTGGGATCAGGTGGCAGATGAGGGAATGGGCCCTGCCAAGAAGCTCCCTCTCCCTCATCCCTGTAATGTGATCTTCTGGGTCTGCCCCACCTGACCCCAGCGTCAGCATGAGCTGGAGGCTGGGCACCTACTCTGTCCCTCTGTGCCCCACAGTGGTTTGAGCCATCTCAGTTCGGCACTTGGTGGGCCATCCTGTCAACCAGCATGAACCTGGCTGGAGGGCTGGGCCCAATTCTGGCAACCATCCTCGCCCAGAGCTATAGTTGGCGCAGCACGCTGGCCCTGTCTGGGGCACTGTGTGTGGTTGTCTCCTTCCTCTGTCTCCTGCTCATTCACAACGAACCTGCTGATGTTGGACTCCGCAACGTGGACCCCACCCCCTCCAAGCGCAAGAAGGGTGAGTGCGCCCCTCCCAGGGTCATCATTGGGGCACCTTCATTCGTCAGTCATTTGCAGATTTTTGTGGAGGACTGGCTCTGTGCCTGGCCCCATGCTATCCAATGGATGGAGGAGGAGGAGTGGTGATGGGGGGAGTAATAAATAAAATTCCATCCCAAGAGGCCGTAAAGTAGCAGGCAAGTGGCAGAGCCACCAAGTGCTGCCTCACAACAGCCAGACTTTCCTGTCCTGGACAGCATCCTAAGCTTAAGTGGCTGGGGTGTCTCCTTCCACCCTGGTCCTCAGTTTCTCTTTCATTGATTGAGGCTTGTGGGAGGGGAGCAGTGAGGTTGAGGGGAAACCCTTCATGCTGATCCTTGCTGTGCTGATGGACTCTGCCCCTCTGGCTGGTTAATGAATGGTGGGGGCTGAGGTGGGGGCAGGACAGTAGGAAGCAGTGCCTGAGGCCTGGCCTCCTACCTCCAGGCTCCGTGAAGAAGGACAGCACCCTACAGGAGCTGCTGCTGTCCCCCTACCTGTGGGTGCTCTCCACTGGCTACCTCGTAGTGTTTGGGGTAAAGACCTGCTGTACTGACTGGGGCCAGTTCTTCCTTATCCAAGAGAAAGGACAGTCAGCCCTCGTGGGTAAGACAAGTGCTGGGGCAGGGGTGGCTATGGAGAGCAGGATCCAAGGCAGGGGAAGGGAAATTCAGGCCCTGCTTCCCTATATTCCCTTTCTCTCCCTGAGGCTGGGTACTGTGCAGGCAGCTGTGGCTAGTCACCCTTGGGGACCCATGTACCTCTCTGGGTTTCAACCAATCTGGGATAACTCCAATATGTAACACTTCCACCCTTCCCTTCCTTCTTCCCACCACAACTGCCCACTGCAGGTAGCTCCTACATGAGTGCCCTGGAGGTTGGGGGCCTTGTAGGCAGCATCGCAGCTGGCTACCTGTCAGACCGGGCTATGGCAAAGGTGAGTGTGCAGAAGGGACAGGAAGGTGCAGGGTCCCTTTGAATCTTCCCAGCATGTCTGGGGCAGGCACCAGAGAGGTGGGAGCCCTGGGGCACAGGCAGATTGGCATATGCTGGTTTAGGCTGGATGAGGTGGCAATGATTCCGGGCTACTCTTACCTTTCCCAGGGATATAGATGATAAGGCTCTTGGGGAAAGGGTTTTAATTAATGTCAAGGAAAGCCAGAATTTCTCTCAGCCTAGCTATAGGCTCCTTCACAGCCCCAGGAAAACCAGGGCAGGGGAGGGACTGGGAGCAGCTCCCCAGCACGTGTCCCAAGCCTGCCCCAAGGTGGAGGAAGGGATATTGTGGAGTTTGGCCTCAGAACATAATGAGCAGTCCCAGGGCCTCCCAGAGATTCCGCGGGCCAAGAACTGTGGTGGGATTGCCAAAGACCTGTCAGCAAGGCCCTGCTGTGTTGGAGTCCAGGGGCAGGGGTTCTCTGCCCTGCTCCTAGGGCCTCACATACTGGGGACTGGATCCATAGGCGGGGCCATCCATCTACGGGAACCCTCGCCATGGGCTACTGCTGTTCATGATGGCTGGCATGACCGTGTCCATGTACCTCTTCCGGGTAACTGTGACCACTGACTCCCCCAAGGTAAATGACAAGTGCTGGCCCAGGGCAAGGCACACAGAGGAAAAGCAAGGGCCACTGACTCTTGGTCTCCCTCTCCCTGGGCTCCAGTGTGGCCCAGTCCTTTTCTGTTGCTCAGATTTCCCTTTCAGTTCTGTTTTTACCTCAGTTCCTTTCCTCTGTACTCTGCTTCCCCTTCTCCATTTCTGGGCCTGGTTTTGTTCTCTTCCCTGTGCTCCTCTAGGATGTTGCTTTCTGGACTCTGGCTCTGCACCCTCTCGCTGAACTCACAGGCTTTATGGAACACGAGGTGCCCTCTTTATCTGTTTTTTCTCCTGGTCTGTCTTACCTTTGTCCTACTTCCTCTGCCTTGCCTTAGCCAATTCAGCTCACATAAATTCTGGGAACAGACAGCATGTAACTCTGTGGGATGACCATACCTCCTTCAGCTACCACGCAGGCCCTTGGGCTGGCTCAGTATGGCACCCGCTCCTCTAGCTCTGTGTTGTCAATTGTACTGGGGAGTGGGGTGAGGGATCACTTACTGTGCCTTTACTACTATTAGTTGTTCCTAGGGACCAAGCATTCTCTCCTCTGGCAGGGGTGGGTAGGCAGGCTTTTCAGACTCTGAAGCCACCCTGCACTACCCCTACAGCTCTGGATCCTGGTGTTGGGAGCTGTGTTTGGTTTCTCCTCGTACGGTCCCATTGCCTTGTTTGGAGTGATAGCCAACGAGAGTGCCCCTCCCAACTTGTGTGGCACCTCCCATGCCATAGTGGGACTCATGGCCAATGGTAAGTGAGTCTGTAGATGCCAGTCTCTCTCTTGCCCCCACTTGTGCTTTGCACACAGGCCAGCGAGAGGCTGGAGCAGGCCTCACTGGCTGTCACCTCACAAACGGTTCAGGCTCTTTCTCTCCTTCCTGACAGTGGGCGGCTTTCTGGCTGGGTGGCCTTTCAGCACCATTGCCAAGCGCTACAGCTGGAGCACAGCCTTCTGGGTGGCTGAAGTGATCTGTGCAGCCAGCACAGCTGTCTTCTTCCTCCTACGAAACATCCGCACCAAGATGGGCCGAGTGTCAAAGGCTGAGTGAAGAGGATGCAGACTCTGCGGCATCTTCTCTCACCTGTGGCCTTTCCAAGCCGGCAAAGGGTAGGGGCAGGGGTAGCTGCTCTGGTTTGCACTGAACCTCTGACTTCCCTTTTCCATTCCTTCCCTTGCCCAGGTGACACTGGAAGTTATCAGAGGCTAATGAGGTCCCAGCTCCCCATCCTATGCTGTATTTAAAAGATACCCTTTGTTCCTGGACTCCATTAGCTCCTACTTCCTGCTTCCAAATGGGACACCCCTGTAGTCAGGGAGTCTCTTACACCCTTCTCCCTCTACTGGGTCCTGCATTGTCTCCATCTCACCCCAACCCCATCAGGGGTGTGGCCACTCCTGCAGCTGCAGGGCACTAATGGTTCACGACTTCTGTCCCAAGGCCTCTCAGCAGTAGGCAACTATTGCCAATACCTCAGACTCCAGGCCAGCACTCCCACTATTACCCTGGTACAATAGCGGGGTAAGGGTGGCAGAGTACAAAGACTTGTTCTAGAATATTAAAACTAGATTTGATACTAAACACTGTCAGTAATTCATTCTTTGAGAAAGAGGTAGTACGAGCCAAAGATAGCTCTGGAAAATACTTTTGGTACCTGCTCTTTCCACCTGAAAAGAGAGACTCCACTTCCCTGGAATGGGGAAACTGAAGTGTAGACAGACTCCTGCAGTCCTCCTTTAAGCTCATGACTCCTCTGCCCTCATCTCAGAAGCTACTGGGTTTCAGGCAAGGAGCCCTGGTGATGCAGTGGTTAAAGTGCTTGGCTGCCAACCTAAAGGTTAGTGGTCCAAGCCCACCAGCCACTCCACAGGAGAAAGATGTGGTAGTCTGCTCCCGTAAAGATTACATACAGCCTTGGAAACCCTATGGGGCAGTTCTACTCTGCCCTGTAGGGTTGCTAGATGTCTGAATCAACCTAATAGAAATGGGTTTTTTGGGTTTCAGGCAGGTTAAATAAACTGAGAGACAGAGGCAGTATAACAGTGGTTTGCTAACAGTGTAGTCAGGAAGTCTGGATGCACTTAGGCTCTGACTCTGAGGCACAGAGTTTGTACCCTGCTAAATCTCCTGTCTATAACAGATCGTAGTCTTTGGAGTTACAGTGAGTTAAGGGAGATAGAGCAGGAAAGCCTAGCTGAAAGCATTTGATAAATGTTCCATTATGATTATTACTATCATCATGACCCCAGGAAGTGATCAGCAATTCTGGGACTAGATCCAAGGCTCATGACTCAAAGTCCTATGTTCATTCAATCAACTTGTATTTATTTTGTTTTCTAATAGAACAGAATGTCTTATCTTCCCAGAATTCCCTTACCAGCCCTGTCTCCCAGTCAGTGCCTTTTCCCAAAACCATCAATTAACACAGCAAATACTGAGGTCAAAGAAATGTTTATTATAGCATTCATAGGCCTACCTCCTCCATAAATAAATCTGTACAAAGTTAGGAAGTAGGAGCACGATATATACAGGAGGGAAGAGAGCAGGGTATTAAGGCTCAGGGATCAGTATGTGTCACCAGGTTCAGCATCCACCCATTTCCATGTGCACTAACAAGACTGTTAGGAGCGCCACTGAAGTGGGAACAGCAGGGCCCCGACTGTAGACTTCCAGAATTTTGGGGTCTGTTGCAGGTTCAGCCTATGACCCAGGTCCAAAAGTCCCAGCCTTTTCTGCCACCTCCAGGGCTAGCTTCAGGTTCTGGTCAAACAGCTCACACCTAAGCCAGACCCAAGAGGCACAAATAAGAAAAAAGTATGAGGTCTGATGCTCTCTCCCCATTTAGGGTACAGAAGCAAGGCCGGTGGAAACTCTGCCCGAAAAAGGACACGAACCCCAGGGAAAATCTTTGGTTTCTCAAAAAAAACAAACAAAAAAATACCTGGTCGCTTTTTGTTTTACTGAAGTAATACTCTACTTGGAGAAGAGCACCCAGGGGCTGGAGGAGGGGCAAGGAGGCTTTGGCCGGGAGCTGGGGTGTTTGGCCACCTACCTGATGGGCATTTCCAGGGAGTAGAATGGATTCTTGAGGGCATAGTCTGAGTAAATCTCATAAATCTTTCGAAGAAGAGAATCTATGCCAGCTTGCCTAGGATCTGCCAGCACCACAAACTTGATCCCTGGAGAGGGGCAGAGGATGGTTACAAAGGGTGGAGAATGCAGCAGATAATGATATCCTGTACTACTTGTACAACACTTTCAGAAGCCCATTTTCATTTTATTCTTATTGCTACATAAAGCCGGAAAAGCAGAACTTTGTGTCTATAGCTGAGATCAGAGAAGTAAAGTGACTTCTCAACAGCTGAGAGAAGAGGCTTTAAGATCTAGCTCTGTCACTTTTAGACAGTCTTAGGGACCCTCAGGTGGCACAGTTTGCACTCATGTACTAACCTAAAGGTTGGCAGTTCGAACATAGTGGCACTGTGGAAGAAAGGCCTGGCAATCTGCTTCCGTAAAGATTATAGCCAAGAAAGCCCTATGGAGCAGTTCAACTCTGTAACACACGGGGTTGCCATGAGTCAGAATCAACTTGATGGCAACAGGCTTGGTTTTTATTTTTAGGGACCCTCAGCAGAAACACTGACGAGCATGGGGCAAACTCAGGCAGTTTTCAATTATCTGCATTGAGGGACTGAAGCAGTGACACCTATGATCCAAAGGCCACTTCCATTTAGCTTTCAAATTTCATTTTGGAACAACACACCACCTTCCAAAACGCGTGCAGCATGAGACAACATTAAGGTGAGTTTTATCTGAGTGCAGGATATCCAGGGCTGAGCATGCTGGGTGATGTGGACAAAATTGGCTTCAAAACAAATATTTGCTTTGGATTCACAAAACAAGTATTTGCTTTGGATTCACAAAACAAATAAATGTGTCTGTAACAATTGCCCCAGGAAAAGCTGACACCACTCCCCACCCCCCTTACCAAAGCTGTCTTTGGCCCATCCCTTCCTCCAACCTGCCCACCGCATCCCTCTGGACTATGTGGAGATGCATACCTGTCAATGTCTGAAAGCAGTGCAGTTTGAATGTGTCTGTCTCCAGCATCTCAATGCCTGAGCTGCCCTGTTCAGGAGACAGCTGGGAGCCGATGGCAAAGAGCCTGCATGCAAAGGAGGCAACACTGAGTACACACCCGACTGCTGTCAGGGAGGAATGTTTTCAAACTTCCACTGAGGTGACCCTCGCAGTTACTGCCTGGGGCAGTCTGCATGTTTCGTATTACATACTTTGCTATAGAAACATTCCTCATTAAAAACTTTGGGGAAAATTAACACTCTGGGAATACGTGCCATGTTTACTTCGTGGCTATGCATACCCGAGCACATCTCATACCAGAGTTGAGATCAGGAAAAGCTCTTTTAAAGACCATTTAGTTCAACTGCCTTACGTTAAAGATGAAGAAACTAAGGTTCTGAGAAGAGAAGCTGGCTTAAGAAAGATCCCACTGTCCAGTACTATCTAAAACTTAGCTACACCGGAGCAATTCTTTTTGTCTTTTCACAACACAAGAATCCGACAATTTACGAGGAGGTAGAGAAAGGTAAGCACTGTCGCTCAGGAGACTCTGCCCACAGAAACACACAAATCCAGCCAGTCGAAGGGTCAAGTGCAGGCCACCAGGGTTGGGGGACTTACGAGTGGAACATGGAAGCCAGCATGAGTTTCTCATTGGAGGTGAGGCGGGGTCGGCCGAATCGAATGGACACCGGGAAATTAGCAGGGTTGCCTAGGTACTCCAGCACCTCTTTCCCGTCGGCCGTGTACTTGCCGTTCACGTCCATTCCATTGATAGCCAGCACTGCGTGGCCCACTGCAGAGGTGAGACTAAGGGTCAGCGAAGCCGCAGGGGACAAAGACCCCGCTCCAGCCCTCACCCCGCACAGACACACCAGCCCCGGGCTCCGCCTCCCGGACCCAAGCCTAGCCCACCCCGGATGCCGTCGCGCTGGCCGAAGGCAACCAGCACACGCTCGTCGTGTAGCTTGAGCAGTAGATCGAGCGGGTAACTGAACGTTTTCTCAGCCTCAGCCCGTGGCGCGTAGCTGTCCAACTGGTAAATCAGGCCGCCAGCTTTGTTCACCACATACACACTGAAGATCGCCATTGCTTCCGCGACCCCTCCAGGATTCCGATTCCGCCCCTTCCCTACAGCCCCGCCCCGGAAGTACAGTCAGCAGTACCCGCCCCCGACG